TGTCTCCCATCTCTGTTGAGTTTGGGCTGACAGGGGATGCTGTTCCGAGTGGTTCATTTTGCGTCAGCAAATATACCTTCACCCTATAGCCGCAGCAGCTGCACACGTCAGTAGAGCTGCGCGCAGTGATTTTAACGTTGCTTCGAAACCGTCTTCACCCCTTGCCATTATTTTAATTTAGGACCAACTGCTCGGCCATGTGGCGTAGTTTGTCATTCAGCATCTGTAGCACCAAAAATATGTATTTATCTGTGTGCTTTATGCCTTCAGATGGGCTATGTTTCATAAATCGACAAGTCTTTTCACTTTATTAATGTGGCCATTCACTGAATTTTCCGTTTGCTTTTCCCACAAGAAAAACCACAAACCGTTTGCTTTTCTAACATTAAGAGGGCTTAATGTTAGATTGGGATGCTTTGCAAAGTCATAAAGAAATGATACTTAGTTCTGTACGTCAGCTTCTCCCGGGCCCACGGTTAAGCGCAAGGACACCTCGCTGGCCGTTTACCATTATACTTCGCAAATGATTCAGCATCCAGGCTGGGGGTGTAACATGGTGGTTAGAGGCTCGCCTAGCACACACAAAACTCCGGTTCGACCCCTGGCTGGACTGGCATGCCTGTGATCCCAGCACGCGGACAGTGGAAACGGGAGGGTCGTAAATTCACTATTATGCTCAGCTCTATAACAAGTTCAAGGCTACTGTGGTATGGGGCTGGAGAGATGGCTCAGTGGTTGAAGAGCACTGACTGCTCTTCCAGAGGTCCTGAGTTCAATTCCCAGCAGCCACGTGGTGGCTAGCTTTGCTAAAGGTGCAACCACGTTAGTCTTTAAACAATCCAGTCCAAATCCAATGGGCACCAAGGAGGGGGTGTCTAGCACCCTTGTGTGCACAGGGATTCTACCTGTCTTCCCAAGCATCACTTGTTAGAATAGATCTGAACCCAAGAAGAGACAGCTGGAGTTTGTCTCCCTGGCTTTTGCTGTTGGTCTTTGAGGAGACAAAACTGTGTGGTAGCATTAAGAGAGGCTGAAATCTGAGCTGGCTGTAACTCAATGAAGTTGTGCTCTGTTCTGGCCTGATCTGTCACTTACAAGATCTAAAATGTTTTAGCAACTTTAGACTTCACTTAATACCTGGTTGGCAATGCCTCACTTGCTTGAACTCACGTGTTGACTGTGATCTGACAGGAAATAATGTATCATTTCTCTATTTTCATCTTCCTTTCCTCCTTCCCTCCCTCCCTTCTTTCTTTCAAGATTAATTTAGTTTATGTATATGAGTACACTGTAGCTGTCTTCAGACACACTAGAAGAGGGCATCAGATCCCATTACAGATAGTTGTGAGCCACCATGTGGTTGCTGGGAATTGAACTCAGGACCTCTGGAAGAGCAGTCAGTGCTCTTAACCATCGAGCCATCTCTCCAGCCCCCATTTCCATCTTTTTCTAAAGAAATATTAATGTGCATGATCATGGACTCCACCTCAGGGGCTTTAGAAAGGGACCATAGACCAACAGTACTTATCTCCTGGTTGGGTTTTGGGATTTAAAGACTTAATATATGCAGACATGCCTAAGATAAGTTCAAACTCTGATGTTTACCTCACCTGCATAGGTTTTACTTGAGCAATCGGTAAGTGATAGCCATTGTCCTAAGATCTCTGGGGACAGGATAAACGTGTGACTGGATGGGGCATCAGTTCTCTGCTGTTAATTAGTAGGACATTACAGTCAGCTGACAAATGATAAAGGATGGTCTGGTCTGGTCAGTGAGGGATCCTGTGGTAGGTTAGTGATAAGTAGGCTATCCCCGCCAAGTGATGTTTTCTGAAGATACAGAATTCTCCAGGTAACTAAGCAGAGACTGCTTTTGTTAGCAAAGAGCTCATGTGAGGTTTCAGAATTGTGAAGAGGAAGTGTTTGGATTCTTTTCCTTCAAACTATGGAGATGGATCTTTCTAACCCATCTCCTCTCCTAAGACCAGAGCTTGCCTTCAGAGGAAACTTCTTAAAAACTAAAAGCAAGGAGAATCAGAGTTCCGAGTGATATTCTGTAGAAAGGAGCAAGTGTCTGCACTCACCAGGTAGTACCTAACTCCCCAGTCTAGGAAGGCTCTCCCGGGGCAGTAGGAAATCTTAGCTGTGAAATCAAAGCTTTCTCAAGCCTTAGGCCCTGGTTTACAGGCATATGTGAATTAGGATACTAGACTACCAGGCTCTTAAAATTCTCCCTAAGACTAAGCATAATTAGATGTAGAGTCGTGACCCAGAGAGTGCCTTAAAAAGTGTGCCTTACACAATGCTTGTCGTGGGCATAGTACGATGTAAAAGCCACTTGCTTAGGGTAGCGTTCAAATCCCGAGTATTGATAGCATTTTTCTATTTTGGTTATTTTATGTAACTCATATTTATTCTTGAGACTAGCTTATGGTAACCTGTAATTGGTTACCTTTTTAATTCTTTCATTTTCGAATTATGATTTTGGCACTGTTGTATTACTTACCAATACAATGGCAGGAAAGGAAAAGTGGAAAGGGACATTGAGAAATGATTTAAATTTTTATCATGTTTCCGCCAGTGTTCACACTTACATGGTAGCACTCACAAATCCTGCTTTCTGCATTAAATATCATGTTTCCGCCAGTGTTCACACTTACATGGTAGCACTCACAAATCCTGCTTTCTGCATTAAATATCTCAAAGCATCAAATGAATAGCTTAAATGAAATTTAAAACAGCATAAATTAAACCGATGCCTAGTATGAATATTATATCAGTATTATTGTGAATAATTCATATGAAAGTGCTTTTTTAATCCTCTTTGTAATTAAGGAGTCATTATCCAGGAGCATGTCTGTCGTGAACTGCTTTCTTGTGGGTGCATCATCTCTCTCCTGTTTCCTGCGCCTACTGACACACCTCAACATACAACAGGATGGCATTTCTGTCCCCATTTCACAGTAATGGAAACAGGATGAAGGGAAGCCAGGCCACCGTGTGGCTCACACACTTCACTGTGAAGACCTGTAGCTGGTCTGGCATTCTGCAAAAATAGGTGATGGCTTGAAATTCAACTTGGTCATCGGCAGCTAATATCACTTAATATTTAGGGAACACCAGTAGAAAGAAATAATTCTCACGCCTCGTTCTAATTCATGTTTATTCCTGGAGGAAGCAACTGTCTTCACAATTATTTTTTTAATATGACCTAATTCTTTATATTTATTGCACATTTGTATTAATGTTTTCTGGGAGTTTTAAATATGTTCATGATATTAATTTCTTGTTGGATATGTATGTTTGAATATATCTTCTCTGTGATTTGATCATTTCCTTGTTTCTTTCATAGTATCTTTGTGTGTGTGTTCATACTGTGTTTATGTATGTGTATGTATTTTATATACTGTTTATGTGTGTGTATGTTATATACTGTGTTTATGCATGTGTGTATATTATATACTATGTTTATGCACATGTGAGAGAGATACTGTGTTTATATGTGTGTGCAAGATATACTGTGTTTATGTCTGTGATATATACTATGCTTATGTATGTGTGTGCATGTTGTATGCTGTGTTTATGTGTGTATGTTATATACTATGTCTATGTATATGTGTGTGAGATATACTGTGTTTATATATATGTCTCTCTATATATGTCTATATATATATATGTCATATATATATATATATATATGTCTATGCATACTCCTGGAAACCGGAAGCCAACATCAGCACTCCTCCTTTATTTCTCTCCAGCTTATTTTTTAATTAATTATTTTCATTTACTCTTATTATGTGCATGTTTGGGGGCTGCATCGCTGCCCGTCGCTGGGCACATGTGGAGGTCTGAGAGAAGCCTGTGGAACAGGCTCCTTGCTTTCACTTTTACAGGAATTCCAGGACATGAACTTAGGTCAGAACACATATTTTTCATAGCTGACAAGAACCTTTCCCTACTGGGCCATCCAACCCACACACCCTGTGCTACCTACAGGGCCATCCAACCCACACACCCTGTGCTACCTACTGGGCCATCCAACCCACACACCCTGTGCTACCTACAGGGCCATCCAAC